TTATGTTACTATTGTGTTAACTATTTTTAAAGCAATATCTTAAATTAATTTAATAACTCTCATAGTATTGTTTATGATTTAATAGACGTATAATAGTTTACTGTGACCCCAATAATTAAAGATTCCACAAAAAAAACCACGTTTAATTATAACGAAACTAGTTATTTTTATCTCAAAACTAAACTAAACAACTAATTTTGATAAAACTTCTATGGGACTAATCTGTAAGTATATCATTTCAGATAAAAAAAGAATTTTCCAAATCGGTTTACAACCGACGGAGTTGTGATAAGAGACATAGAAAAAAAATATAATAGAATTGAGAACTTCCTTCTTTTTAAAATCGTTTGAAAATCGAACAAGATCCGATAGTTAAGGAATTTGGTGTTCTGAGATTAAATATTTCATCCGTAATGTTGGTATCCCAATTAGGATGTAAGCGAGATAAAAGACAAAGAACAATACAAACAACATTCAAATATTAGTGGTGATAATTTTCAGTTCTTGAATGAACTTTTGAATGCAACATAAAACTACTACCAGTTTTACGTTCCGTTATTTCAGTATTACATTTATGGCACTCGTCTCGCCCGTAAAGTGGAGACTAGTCTAGAACCGGGCAGATCTTTATCACGGCAACGCATAGCAACAGACGGCGACATGCGTCAATCACATTTGATGTGATACGCTTTGCAATGGATGCAATACGATGACGTAGCGACGTGCACTTGTATGTATCGTGAATTCGTGACGTTAGCTCGAATTTTCAGCTATTTAATTAGTCCGATCCAAAACTTTTGAAGTCGATTCCGAGTTGCCAGCCATTTCTCTATATGTATAAGTACCAAAATTCAAACTATATATATATATATATATATATATATATATATATATATATATATATATATATATATATATATAGTATTAATAGTTCAAACTATTAATCGTATATGCACATCACACTTAACAGTAACGATCCGGCTCGAAGGACCATGTAATTTTAAACGAAAACAAAGAGTATAAGGGTCGATTCTAAGTCGCCATTTTTCTAAACCTTACTCTAAAATTAAAATTTCAATTTGATACCGCAGCGAAATATTTATTGTAAGAACCAATATGAACTAAGTTTCTAATAGATTTAATTCAAAATTTTTATAATTTTAGTTTATGATGGTCCATAAAACAGTAATTATGCGAAATTATCAAATTAAAATATTAGGTTTAGAAAATGGTACCTCAGAACCGACCTCGATTTGTTCATTTTAAAATTACATATTACTTCTTTTAGCCTCATTCATTCAATTCATTCATTCAATCATATCAGCCATTCACTCTGTCCACTGCTGAACATAGGACTCCCCCATAAGGAGTATTTTGTTATTAGTTGCCACGCTTGTTAGGCGTATTGGCAACCAACATTAGACTTTTAGTGATGTTTCAAGAGGGACACTGTTGCCCATGCCTCGACCTTTATGTTTACTAAGACGCCTCTTACAACATCCACAGGAAAGGACCGGGTGGCCCATTCTATGCCGGGACTACAAGGCATTGAGTATTCATTTGTTTATTCAGTAATCGGATACAAAATGACTGCATATTCTTAATATTATATTATGCTAAATTCAAACGAACACATTACGGATTTTATTAAAAAAAAAACTTAAACACTGGATGAAGCTACAATCTTTTTTTTTATACCACTAAAGTGGCAAATAAGCAAACGGTCCACCTGATGGTAAGCGGTTACCGTAGCCTATGAACGCCTGCAATAACAGGGTTATTACGCCTTGGAGAAACCTCTTTATCTCTTTTTAAAAGAACCCCATGCTTTTTTTTTTGTGCTATGTATTGGATTTGAGTTCCCAAGCACTTGCGTTTGCGCTTTTGGTGTACGCTCGCGTATGCCAAGGTTTGCAGCTGGTTGACTTATAATATGGATGATAGATTTGGGCTTCAACATTGAGTGGGTACTGAGAGCATGACTTTTAAGATAACCTTTCCGATGCGGACTGATGGACGATGAGTTATCATGGTGAGTTTTAAGATTTACAGGTTGACAGTTGATGGAGTCAATAGAAAATTTTTGGAGGTTTGAGAGTTTATGAAGAGGGTGAAGAACCCCATGCTGTAGTCTCTTAAAACTATGGAGGGAGGGTCAATGCATGCAGATGATTCAGAATCGTGCCTTATAGTAATGTATAAAGGAGAGCTAGGTCCAGCAGTGGATAATTACAGTTAAAATGAGGTAGCAACCACATTATGTTGCGTTACGTTTACGCATAAACAATTATAATGTAATAATTTACGCTATATTTATGAACATTATGTAACATCTGCCTTCCATAACGATAGATGATAAATGATATCACTTCACAACAAACTATACATAATCAATGAAGATTAGGACATCCGTTATAATCACGTAATACAATACACAATGGAGGGAAACATGTTATCCTTTGAACAATAGTTGTATTATAATAAAACTATAAATATACCGAGTCTAAGATACATCCAAACAAGGGTTCGTAAACTTTTAAAACGGCTAAAAAATACCTTTTATTTTATAGAACCCCATATTAAATAAAAAACAAAGTAATTTAAATAAGAATAAAAGCTTTTATTAGAAATATTTTAAAAATATAACACTTTATAGTCTCTTTTAATTTTTTATGTGTAGAATAAAATTGTTTTACTGTATAAATAACTTTGCGGAACCCTGGTGACTTTTTTACGGAACCCACTTTAGGAATGGCTGCATTAAAGTATTTAAAAATTGCTTAAAGTGTAAATAATTATGCTCACGACTTTAATCCCTCATGGGATGGGTAATCTTTTAGAGAAAACAATCTGGAGTATCAATAAATTAATACAATAAATATAACTGCATACATTACTCCATACAGTACTAAACTAAACAGAATTTGTAACTGTGGATATTAGACAATTCAGAAAAATATCAGTTTTTTTTTTTAAATACTTATTATAGAAGAAGGCTTAAGTTCTGTAGAGGGCAATAAATCACTGAAATAATGAAGATGATGGGCTATTTGATGAAAAGTGGTAACAGTATGGACAATATACAATATATGTACCGCCCATGGCGCCTCTCACAGTAAAATCATAATTTTATAGGTTTAAAAAACTAAAACTTCATGCCTCAATCAAAAATTATTCTTTGGCGTCGGGCGTATAAATTAAAAATCCAAAATGAATCCAAATATTCAGCTCACATGTAGCCCTGTAATTTAAATAATTATTTGTAACAATTACCCATGTAGAAGATAATGAAAAACCATTATTTCATTGAAAATAAAATCACTTTCATTATACGCAATTACTATAATCAACAGCAACATCGCGAGTTGTTATACCAACAGAAAAAAAAAAAAGAAAATAATAATTGTCTATGATTGCCGGTATTGAAGTCAAAATTTTGTGCGGGAAAAGCGAGCAATGTACACTGTAACTATTACTTATAATATTTATTGTAGAATTCAGTAAGTGATAACTACATTACGTTATTTAATAATAGTCGGCACTACCCTTACGCTGACGAAACTGGAAATGCACCTATGTAACAATCTAGTGGTACCAACATAACAAAATAATGAATGTGCATAGAATTGCACAAACTTTTTATAATAACTAGAGATTCGGCCTGGCTTCGTACAGGTGGATCAAAGGTGACAAACAAGCATACAGCCCGGCTGATGGTAAACGGTCACTGTAGCCTATGAACGCCTGCAACAATAAGGGTGTCACGTGCGCATTGCCGGCCCTGAGGAAATCTTAATATTTCCTTTTTAAAGAACCCCATACTGTAGTGCCTAAAAAAGTTTTCTATAGGTGAAAAGATTTTCATCTATTACAACAAACAATCTTTATTTTATAATATTAGTATTAAACTCTATCAATCAATCAATCAAAATAAATTTTATTCATATAGTTATATCTGTAACAGACTTATGATACGTCATTTAAAAATATAATTACTATCTCAGGAATAACATACATAAAAATATCTCTCTATCTGTAATAAATATCTCTCTATAATGTCGATATCTAAAATACCGATATATAAATTTGTCGTACAAAAACATTGCTGTTTCTAAGCATTTGTCATTGATCTAAAATGACATCTAGACCGCTTAAATTGCAATACATTACTAATACATACATAATCAAGTACGTACTCGACCCGATTCATAATAATCACATTGAATAAGCTACATTATAATATTAATAATGCCATTATTAATTGATTTCAATTGACTGAGACGCCATGGAAACGCCAATTGAGACTACGTAAACAGCCATTGAGTAATAGGTACTTTAAATTTATTCTCAGACAAAATTATTTTCTTTGTAAATAAATATTTGAAACAAATCAATGGGCAATTAGATGGGAATTTAAAGATCACCCCTCCTCCTTCTTTTGCCGCTTGTCAGGCCCCTTATCGATTCCTGTGCGTCTATCGATGGGTTCTCGTACGTTTTTAGCGTACACTTGAGAGATATCAAGACGCCGGACATTATTGTCTTTTTCTACATCATGTATGCGGTAGCGATGACGTGTTTATTGATAGATTCGTTTGCCACGTATCTAGGGAGCCTGTTTACAAGTAGGCGTGCAAAGCAATAGACGAATGAAATCAAAATTAATTATTTATGTACTCATAGTACTATTAACGTCAATAGGTGATTGCTATCATTTTTAATGAAAAACCTAATGAGGTTTTCTAAGTCGTTTACGATTCTAAGTTTAAAAAAAAAACTAGACCTTTTCCCACGGCTTTGTCCGCGTGAATATGTATATAAAGTATCTTATGTATTAAATGAGGATACAACCTACTCATGTACTAAATTTCAATGTCTCCAGCCGTTTAAACATTACATCTTTACTAACTTTCTATAATACTATAGTAGGATTGCCAATAAAAATCGCACTCCAAACCAAACAACTAGTACTACAAGAAGCCATGAAATCAAGTACCTACACAGAAAAGTCCGGTTAGGAAAATTACTCGAACACGCGGTGCGCGGACACAGCGCTGTGATGCGTCACGACGCGCGGGAACCGCCGTTGTATAAACAATCTACGACGTAAAATTGTAAACTCCATTGAAAGCTATGCTAGAGTTGCCAGATGCGATTTTTAGTATCCCAATTTAGTGTCTTTTTTCCTTTAAATTGATACGATTCCTTAATAGAAACCCATAATGTTTCCTCTTCTTACTGTACGCACACTGCCCGCTGGTAATTAAGGCTCGTTTCCACTCAGGGTTTACTGGAAGAGAATTTTTATAGGTTTAATCTCGTTCGTTGTACAGCTTTATTCAAAATAATATAAAAATAAATTATAACAATGTAATTTTTGTATATAATAAATATAAATAAATAAAATAAATTCCTTTCACTTTTACAAAGTACATACGACGAAAAAAAAAACGTCGTTTTTTACGCTGATTTCACATCTATTTACTATTTGCATTATAATATTCTATTGATCTATATACCGTTATCTATATGTGGTTGGCACATAACAAATCTGTCAAAAAAATTAAACACAAATTTCTCTATACCAATTTTATTTGTTGTCTAAACATTTCGCAAACACAGAAATGGTTACACAAAACTACGAAAAAAATACCCAATCTAGCAACGATGAGCTGTGCCAACATACAAATGTTTAAGATGTGTTACGAGCCGAGAGAATTGCGATACGAGGTATCATAAGATAATAACGCTTGATATATTATTAGTAATACCTTGAGAGCGTTGTTCATTACCACAGACAGTTGAGTAAGGCCAGTAGCTCGATTCTCGTAAAATATTCGAAATATCTTTGATTGAACACCTCGCTCAAAGTTCTATCCAAAATTTGCATTGACGTTTTTCGAATTCGTCAAGCGAAAAACAAAAAATGTGTGCAGTTATATTTCTTTATATTATGTAATTTTTAATTTATTATATAATAATATTACATTATTGTACGCACACTCCCGCTGGTAATTAATGCTCCTTTCTACCCAGGGTTTGCTGGAAGAGAACTCTTACAGTGTTAATCTCGCCTGTTTTGCATCTTTGGTCAAAATAATTTGTAACAATACATGAATGAAAACTCTTTATTGTTCTCTTCAAAGAATGATATAGATTATAAAGATTTACAAAAAAATACTAATGAATTACTTGCAATAATGAATAACAATGTAATCTTTGTGTGTAATAAAGCATAAATAATTAAATATACATTACCATTGAAAAACTACAAATTGAGAATACGAATTGTTTCAATGGCTATCGCTATGATGCGTTTGTGGTTTTCATTATGGGAATAGAGCCAATGGAATATGGTAGCACCTGACATCACGATGGGGACTTATTAGTAACAAAACCAGCGGCTCTATTTTCAACAATATATCTCGTCAAGTCGACCTCCACACACCCATAGAATACCATTTTGATAAGTTTTTAAAAGTTTATGACCACTATATTTATTTTATATTATAGTTATATAGTACATATCAACTCTATATTTAAAACTGATTCAATGACACCATATTTCTAAAAATCAAATTCAATTAGGCTGTACATTGTGTCAAAATTCTGACATACTTACGAAATATAACCTTTCTTTTTCCAACACTCAAATAATCCTTAATCTATGATTAAAATACGGAAATATCTAATAATAGAAGCTCGGTGAATTCAAATTGTTCGCGACCAAAATAAAACAAAACCTATTGGCAAATTATGTAAATTTATATTACATAATAATTTATTCTGTTACTATTACATACTAACAACGTGCGAATGGCGTGCCCATAATAGTTTATCTGGTTAGATGTTTAGCGATTCCGTCTATCAAGGTAATCAAATATTAAATCTAATTATTAACACATCAAAACTGATACTGAACTGTTTTAATTGTTTATGAATAATTATTAAAGTAACTACATAATTTGTATACATTTTTTAAGCATTCAGGGCCGCGACACTTTGTACAAAAAAAAGTATATATGAAATCTATGCAATCAGTTTATTGAATTTGAAAATTGTATATGTAAGCAGCATATTTGGTTCTTTTATGTATCGATATTTTGGGCATTTACTTTATGCCTAATGCACCGCAATTTACGCTCTCTGTTTATTCCAAAGATACGGTTGACTGGTAGAGAATGCCAACAGGCATTAAGTCCGCCCTATGTATGTAAATACATATTTTAATGCGAGAAAAGAATAAATAAAGGAATGAAAAATTTTTTTCAGTCTCTCAAATAACCTTACTTGACTACAGATGATGTATAAACAATAATTATATAAACAAATAATACAAAATTATTTGTGTTGCAAGCACAGTGTACTGTGCATCAATTAATACAAGGGGTGTCATAAAAACTAAAACCTACACTAGCTATTGAAAATATTTTGTCACGTTCTTTTCAATTGAGAATATAGCTCAAAAGAAAGAGATAAAATATTGTAATAGGTTAGGTTTATGAGACGTTTCATGTTTTTTTTTTTTTTATGAATAACGGGGTTAATGTATAAAAACACGATAAATTTTTGATAGAAACGCAGCATTAGACAACCATTTTGATACGTCGTTGTGGGTAATATTTCTCTACTGTAGGGTGGGAAACTAGAAATATTTTTATACTTTTATAGATAAAACGGGCTGGCGAGGAAATCTTTTATCATAGGACCGTTTATATAACTGTTCATCAATCACAGCTCCATGTAGCTAAGACGTTATAAGAAATTTCCTGGTGGAATGGGTGTACCGCAACCTTTGCAAGGAATATGGATGGTGTTGCCATATAAAAGTCCAAGTAAGTTTTTTGCTTAAATTGGAACGTAATATGCGAATTGATTTTCGCAAATTTTTAAAAGGTTATTTTTATCGCAAATTTGTAAAACTAAATTGTTAGTTTTTGTCTAATTCTTTTGAGTTAATTTTAACAAAATTACTCACGGAATACCTAATGAGGTATTTATTAGTTGATTATTGCAGTTGCTTATGGAGAACGTAACACTCGACATGCCCACATTTAGACGTAAAAAATTTTGGAATTCATTGTGACAAAAGGCGAACCTATCAGTTTCTCGGATTAATTTAATTTTTCCCAACACCGGACTGTTTAGAACGGTGAGAGGAGGTTGATCTCCTATCAAATCCTTCTGGAAACTATCGTGATTAATTTCTGAGGAATTTGTCAAGGTGGACCAACTGATGACTTCACCATCACTGGTCAGCGTATTCCGACAACATAAACTAGGTTACCATTTTTTCATTTCATTAAAAAAACGGACAGTTACTAAGCAATTTGCAAACATAAAATTACATGTCAAGTGTGTCGTGTGAAGCTACATGAATAAAATATATTTTAGATGTAGTTTGATTCGCATGGCTCCGTTCAAAGGTATGACCCTTACGTTTGATTTGAGCCAAAGAAGATTGCCTCTGTATTATTACATTTTATCGCGGCTTCGCAAGCGTGAACCCAATCCTTGGAAAATAATGATTATTATAATCAAGTATAGAGAATAAAAGAGGCAAAATGCTGGGCCATATTATACGACGCGACGATTTTTTAAAGAATATAGTAGAAGGAAAAATAGAAGGCAAAAGAAAAAGGAGATGACGGAAGAACTACATGGAACAGATTAAAGAAACATTAGGTGTCATGTCGTATAGGGACGTCAAGGATATGGGCTGGTATAGAGCTGGCTGGAAGAAGATGCATGAATTAGTTGCACCGACAAGAGGAAACTCTTAAATGAAAAAAAATATATATCAAGTATAGCATATCTGTATTTTAGTGAAAGAATTTTTAGAACTAGTTCAGTAATTATGAAGATAACCGCCTACGTTCATTCCGGACTTTAGCACATTAGGTACTGATATAATTGTATAAGTTAAGATTATGTTTTACAAAAAAACCGACTTCAATTGTGGCCAAATCGGATATTTTAATTTCAAAACTAAACTTTTGGAGTGATTTTGATAAAAAAATTGTATGGAACCAATACTGTAAATATGTCTTTTCAGATAGAAAAGGAATTTTCCAAATTAGTTAAAAAAAAAATAAAAAAAAAACAACCATCCAGTGTTGTAAGTAGTCAAACGTGCAGAAATATTCATCTGTTCTAGTCAGGTAGCTTTTTTTTGGCTTGTTATTTCTAGTAGATATTTGGCTTTTTACAGTACGAATATTAGTAATAATTATCATGCATGGTTTATATTTCAGCAATAGAAAGATGTATACGTTAATGGTCCTTGGTTATTAAAAAAAAAGATTAAAAAAATGTTGTAACTGACATGAATGAACAAGAATGTTATCGATTCTAAAAAAAAAAAAACAATCTTATCTATACTAACGATTATTAAATATTGAGAATCATTCAAAATCAAGTCTGAATAGATAATATTTATACGTCTCAATATTTTAAAGGTGAGTAATCATGAACTTTCACAAACAATTCACAAACACCTGCGCCATCGGTATACACTGGCGGGGCACCAGTGAAGGATGATAGGTGAGGATGAAGCAGGTCAGTTAACCGATCGTGACGAATTTAACAAGAATTGTTCACAATGGTTTCCAGGGGGAGCCACGTGGAGGTCGACCTAATAGGGCATATTGCTAGCAATGGGGCTGTCAAACTCCATTGCTAACAATCCCTTTCCCCCCTGGATGTAATAGTAGGTACTATATACATGGGTACCACTATCACACATAGGTTAATGCCATCTGGCGGCTGTTCTGGCTAATCCGGTGGTTCTTTTTTTTTAATGGGTGAAAATGAAATAGTGTATAGCAATATTTTTTTAATAAATGGTAACCCCATCTGTCTATCGATGTAAGCTGGCGGGACACCAATGAGAGATGACAGGTGAGAATGAAAGCAGGTCAGTTAGCCCATCGTGACAAATTTAACAGTAATTACTCACGATAGTTTACAGGAGGCTCGGCTGATAGGATATATTGCTAACATAGGAGCCGTGAGACTCCATTAGTAACAACAATTTTCAGCCTATTTTGATGGTTCCAATTTGATGGAGCAGTGAAATTATAGGTAGAGGTATTAAACCTCACATAACACCTTAATTCAAGGGAGAATTTCATTTTATTGTTAACAATAGAGGTCTTTTAGACCTTACTGCTGGCATTCGAGTATTCTGACACTTCCCTATGGTTGACTGGGAGAGAATGCTTTTAGCATTAAGTCCGCCATGTACACATATATGTACTAATGAATGGATAAATAAATATACCCT